TAGTCGGCAACTATTACCAGGAAATAACCGAAGTCTAGAGTTATAGAGGCAACACACCTGCTGGCCCTACCTTTAGGATCCCTCATATAATGCGCTTATCATTGCCATTGTTTGGTTGCGATCTTTGTATATTTTGGCATTTTCATAAGCTGAAGGCGGCATTTCATCCATCATTGTTTAGCCTGTAGCAAATCGCTTTGACCAACCTCCTTTGCATTAAAGTTAAAAAAATTGAATGGCCCAAAACGCCTTATTGTTCTACTCCTGCAGGAAGGATGCAACGCCTTACCATACCACCATGCGATATGGGAGACATACCTATAGGCGTTTTGGAAATGCCGTTTCTGTAGGCCCATAGAAGCATCGTCTAGCTTTTTGGACCAATCCTTTCTCGATTGTCCAACAGTGGTTCGAGGATCTTTTTGATTTCTCTTGTTAGTGACCTCTACTTGTCCACATGGTTTTGAGGATGATATGGGTACCTACACGATGAGTGACACCATTATTTTGCAAGAAGGCGAGTCTAAATATCTATTACCAAAAATGCTACCTCCATCCGTGATTATTCGCCCTGGGAGTTCCATGCTTGTAAAAATGTTTTTCTTGATGAAGCTCATCACCACTCTTTGGCCATCGTTATGGGAAGAGCAACAGCTTTCTGCCCACTTTTGACACATAACCCACCGCCATAGAATGTTATTATGAAATATGATGGTGAAAAGGTCCAAAAGTCCAGACCCCATACATCGAAGATTTCGACTTCAAGGATGCGTGTTCAGGGGCATTTCATGTCTCTTCGAAATGTTTACCAACCTTTGGACACATGATCACAAAGACGAACATAAGTTATAAGGCATCTTTAAAATAGATTAGGCCAATACAAACCATTTAGTATAACGCGCAGCTGTCTTTGGTTTGCCAAAGGCCTCACCATTCCATTGAATTGGCAGAATTTAAGGACACTTTCTATTTCAGTTTCCGGTTATACATCTCCTGAAAAGCTGATCACTACAATACTTTGAAACAAAAAATGGCTCCTCCCAATAGTAAATTTGGAGATCATGAAAAAATTTTTTCTTTGGTTTGGTTAAGAAAAAATTGGGAGGGACGGGATTTTGGCAAACAAGAGATTAATAACAATGTCAGCGTACCAGGGGGTTTGAGCATTTGCCATTTAGAAGAAGTTGCTCATGAGGGAAAGCTTTTCATTGATTTTGTAGCTCGCTTTGTGCCTTCTTCCCCTAATTCAAGCCTGGAAAGATGGTCAGCAACGAGTTCTCGGTCCCCTTTTTTTCGCGAATTTCTAGGTCAAACTCTTGCAATAGAAAGTACCCAAAGAATGAGTCTTTGGCTTTGCGATCTTTCTTTTCCAACAAGGTATTTGATGCGGAGTGATCTGTGAGACTATTGTTTTTAGCATCCAATTAGATATGCCTGGGAATTGTCCCAAAAAGCAAAACAATAAGCTTTTTAGCAGTTCTTTTTCGTAGTTGCATAATTTAATTTGTGCATCATTCAATGTGACGACTTCATAATAGATAACATGGGCCAAAAACTTCTGTCTTTTTCTGTCCAAAGACAGCCCTACAGCATTATCGACTAGCATCACACAATGAGTTCAAAGGGCCAAAGTCCAGTCTGGGTAGTTGATGATCGGGGCTGAGATTAACTCCTTTCTTTCAACCTGTTGAAAGCATCTAAAACATTCTTTGTCAAACAATCAAAAGGTACAATCTTTAACTAATAAATTGCTAAAAGAGGTTTAGAATTTTTTAGAAATCCTTTATGAATCTCCTATAAAACCCTGCATGCCCAAGAAAACTTCTTAATTGCCCTTCACTTGTGTTAGGGAGAGGTAGGTTTTCAATTACCTCAATTTTGGCCTGTCTACTTCAATCCCCTTTTGAGAGAGTTTATGCCCTAGGACAATACCTTCCTAAACCATGAAGTGAACATTTCCCCCAATTAACACAAGGTTAGTATCTTCACATCGTTGCATTTACTAAAGAATTAAATTATGAAGGCATGATCGAAGAAAGAACCCAAAAATACAGAAAAATCATCCATGAATATTTCAATAAATTTTTTCCACCCATATTCAGGAAAAGATGACTCAGGCACCTTTGAAAGGTTGCAGGCGCATTGCATTAGCCCAAAAGGCATTCTCCATAGGCAAAAAGTGCCATAAGGACAAGTGATGTTAGTTTTTCGCTGTCTTCAGGGGCTATAGGTATTTGGAAGTACCCTGAATAGCCATCTAAGGGAAAAACAATAAAAAGGGATATCCTGGCAAGCCTTTCAAGCATTTGATCAATAAAGGAGGGGAAAGTGATCTTTCGTGTTGCCTTTATTAAGGTTTTCTATTAATCTATACACACACGCCAACCTGTGACTGTCTTGTGGGGGATTAATTCATTTTGTTTTCATTAGAAATAACAGTCATACCTCCCTTCTTTGGAATCAACTTGAGACAAGGACTTACCCTCAATTACTGCTCTGAAATTGGAATAAATGATGCCGGCATCTAAGAGTTTTAAAATAATTTCAAGGCCTTAACTACCTCCTTTCATGTTTTAGGATTTCAGGTCGCCTGTTTGGTGCTCGATTTGAAGGTTTGTTTATTTTCTTCCATCAAAGATTTTAATGATGCACACTTGGGGCTTATTCCTTTGTAGATCTGAGATAAGGGCCATCCCTAATGCTTTTTGTTGCCTTTGAAAACCTGCAACAAACCTTTTCCTTACTTGATCAAGCGTTAAGTAGAGAAGAAAATAATAACAGTGAAAAGAATGGTTCTCACCTAGAAATGCATGTTTAAATGAGGTGGAAGTTATTTTCAGTGGCATTGCTTAGGAAGTTCCTTTCTTTTTTTCATTCAAGATGCTTGACTTCATTAGCATTATTTTCAACATTGGCAAAGTGGTTCTCCACACATTCATCGACTACGTCCCAATTCTAAACAGTCTCCATGATCCATTAGGGAGTTTACAAGATTTAAGTACATCAAATACAATCTCTTCCTGTCCAAACTCTTAAGAGTCAACTTACCCTCATTAGACATTCTATCAATGCTCTTGCAGTTGCAAGAAAAGGTCTTCCAAGGATTTAGAGATCCTTCCCTATCTCACAATATCAAGAAATAAAACAAAACCAACAGGAAAGATGAAATGTACCTACCTTTACAAGCACGTCTTCTACAAATCCCTACTTAGGATATCTAATATGAACGATCTGCTAATTGCAAAAGACATCCTTGTTGGTTTGAGCTCTCCCATACCTAGCATCTTAAAAACTTTCATAGGACAAAGATTAATGCTTAGCACCTTAAATCTGCCAAAGCCTTTTCAAAGGTCAGATACCAATGTTACAAGGGATTAGAAAAAACTTCCTGGCATCTTTTAACTTTGGAGGCAATTTTTGTTTGGATAATTGCACTTGCACTCCTCAAAGTTAACATCACGTTTCTTGATTCATCAATTTTTTCATTTCTTGCTCAAGATATCTTTAGGAATTTAGCATAGCTAGGCATTTGAGCAAGAGCTTTCAGCAAAAGGAATATTAAATTTGCAAGCTTCTTAAAACCACATTCCAGAAACTTGAGGAAGCTCTTGTCATCTTTGCTTTCTTTAATCTTTGTGGAAAGGGAACAGGGGGAACATAGGTTTTAACCTTTTCTTTTTCCTTAATCAATGATAGGCACTTTTGGATTGTTCTTTCCTCCTTTTCTTTCCTCAGTGGTTCATCATAAATTGTTTGGCCACTCCTCAAGGTGATTGAGTAGCCTGCACTTGTTCTTTTGGATTTTCTTTTTTCAGTATTGCTAAGTAACATACCTTGAGGTCGAGATGCCATCATGTTTGCGAACTGCCCATAACTGGAATCTCCAATTCCTTGATTGCGCTTTGCTGGAAGTTTATGGTTCTCCCTGGTTTCATTCATGAATTCCATGTGTGATTTGGAGAGGCAGTGAGGAGGTTCATCGTGAGATTTCTTTTCTTGGAGGGTGGAACCCTGGGGGTGTATTCAAGGCATTGTTAGATTACCCATTAAGATAGGTGTTAGGATGATTCCTTAACCTGTTATCATATGAATTTGAATAAGGGTAATTCTTTCTTCCTTGATCAGTCACATAGTTTCACTTGCTCCCAAAGTTCTGCGGATTTAAGGAGTCCATGATGCATATCCCCATTCCATGTTGTCCATTGACCACCTATTCACAACACTTGCATTAATTCGAATTCAAGGATTAGTGGTTAACATGTCCAATTCCTTACCATGTTATCTACCTCGGCATTTGAGTGCGTGTAATGGCCGTCTATTTCATAGGGACTCCTGCGGTTCTTCTCTTTCGGATATTGTTTTGGTTCAGTGGCTGTTGGCTTGCCATCTCCTCTATCAAACTCATATGCTTCATCAATACCTTTCTTTTCAAAGGATCCACCTGCAGCTTGCATCTAAAGTGATTTTAATATTAGGTGATAATGCATTATAAAAAAGTTTTACCTGTAGCCACTTGGGCAAGCTGTGATGCGGGGCACTTCCTTAGCAAGTCCTTGAATCTTTCCCAAGCTTCGTACAAGCTCTCTTGATCATGATTGAGGCAAATGTCATTATCTCATTACGCAGCTTGGTGGTTTTTGAGTATGGGAAGAATTTAGCTAGGAATTTTTGAGCTAATTCATCCCATGGGTAAAACTTCCAGCGGTACACGATTGTAACCATGGATCTAGCTTTATCCCTAAGAGTAAAAGGAAAAAAGCCTCAACTTGTTGCGTCTTTTCAGAAACACCATTTTGTTAATGTTATGTCACAAATTTCCAAAAAATTTGGTGATGTAGCATTAGGATCTTTCACTAGGCAAACCTCCATATTGGATCGAAGGTAGAGAGCGGGCATTGTGGATAATTGCAGGTTTAATCTCAAAGTTATGAGCTTTCTACCCTAAGTCTGTAATACTTGAGGTTGTCCATTCAGATTTTAGGTGTTGTGAAATCCCTTAATAAGGTACGGATCGGATGTTGAAGTGGTGGTCCAACTACGTTTTCGTTTCTGTTTTCGTTTTCGTTGGCCATGTCTGCTTGTTGTTCGAATTTTATTTCTCTTGCTTTTCTTGCAGCGTTGTGCCTACGACAAGTTCGCTCAATTTCCGGATCAAAGATTAGAGGTTCAGTCCTTCTCAATCTTCTTTGCATAAAACACCTGGAATAATTCGTAGGAGAAAATTAAGTAAAAATAAAAAGAGTGTCTAAATTAACAACAGGGTAATTCGTATTGATATTGATATGCCAATCCCCGGCAACGGCGCCAAAAACCAACGGCGCTAAAAACTTGACAGCGTTTTTTCGCAAGTGTACGAAATCGCAACAAGTAATATAGAGTAAGGGAGTACCGTATCCACAGGGATCCTTCGGTACTGGTGTTAAGTTTGACGGTGGATCTAGCCTAAACCTCGCGTTTGTGAACACTCAAATTTTGAGGCTCAAAAGCCTATTTTCTTCTGGACTGCGAACAGTCCGGCCGGACTGGAGGCCTTTCAGAAAGTTCACCGGAAATATGCCAATATGGTACTTGAAACGTCCGAAAAATTACGAGGATCACGGAACTGGTCTAGGAATATTTTTTGGAGGTTCGGAACTCCCGGAAAAGCCCCCGGAGTGAACTTGCCTGCCCCGGTGGCTCAGCCACCGGAGCCAGCCGCCGACCCGGCGGCCCAGCCACCGGCGGCCTCGGCTGCGAAAGGCCGACCGAGTCGGCGGCCAGCCGCCGGGAAGGCCACCGACCCGGCGCCTATCCGGGCAGGCCGTTCGAGACCCGGCGGCCCGACCGCCGGAAGGGCCGCGAGACCCCGGCGGGCCTCATCGGGCCGGGCCCCAAGCCGCCGACGGGACCGGCGGCCCGGCCACCGGGCGGGCCGCCGAGACCGGCGGGGCCCGGCCGCCGAGGACTCTTGGCGGCCTTGCCGCCAAGCCGGCGGTCCATTCGGCGGCCCGGCCGCCGACGGCCGCCGGGCCGGCGACCCGGCCACCGGAAAACAGTCCGTTTTGCGCCTATAAATTACAGCCTCGGGCCTCCTGTTTTCGACACACAGTCTGTATTGACGGACGCTCCTTACTCCCTCTCGGCTCCTTGCAATTCTTTACTGCTTTTTTGCATTTTAATTAGCTTTTATTGCTTCTTTCTTTGTTAGTGGTCATTAAAATTAAATTTAAATTAATTTCCCTTAACGAGGAGCTTAACCTGGAAGTTAAGAAGTGGCCCAGTTCGACTAAATCAGTGTACACAAAACTAACTCTGTCTTTTTATAATTATTAGCATTTCATGCATGACTTTCTTTTCTACTCCTTCTTAAATTCTATAACTGCATAAATGCATTCATACCATTAACTAGGGCAAATAAATTGCCTCAAAATTAAATAAATTTCAAGCTAAATTACCCGGTTAATAAGATCGTGGTATTAAAGCTTTAAATTCCCGACAATTATTGGCAAAAGCCTAGTTAATCAATAACTATGGTGAAATTGCCTTTATTTCGAACAAGTTTTGGCTTAAGTCTAATTAATCAATAATTGTGACTAAAAATGGCCCTAATTAAAAACCACTTTTTTCTTTTATTGGCAATAAATTTGCCTATAATTCAATTTTAATTAATCACTTTAGCAAACAAATTGCCCGTAAAGTGAAAATTAATCTTTTTAAAACGACCAATCGCTATTAAATCAAAAATTTGGCTAAAAAGCCTTTGATTTAATCATTTAGGCAAACAAAAATTGCTATAAGTGAAGATTAACCTTTTTTTTTTTGCAGCGACAAATCGCTTAAATTAAATTTCTTTTGGCTAAAAGCCCTTCAAACAATTTTTGGCAAATAAACTTGCCTTTAAACAATCAACTTTGGCGACAATCGCCCAATTAGCCATCTTGGCAAATTAATTGCCTTTTTAAACCAATATTTGGGCTTTAAAAAGCCTTAAAACAATTTCGTTTTGGCACCAATGCCCCTTAAAAAATCAAATCTTTTGGCAAGAATAAGCCCAAATTAAATTCTTTTGGCTAAAAGCCTCAAAATCAACATTTTGGCACCAAGCTGCCTAAATTCCTTTTCAACCTTTTTTGGCAAAATGCCCTAAACAAAAATGCCACAAAGCATACACACACTCATGCATAAAGCATCCCATTCAAAGCCCTCTAAAAGAGGCCTATCGAACTACGTTGACTTTGAATCTTCCATTCAAACGGAAGTACGTAGGCACGGTTCGGGATCTAACCCCGAAGCGGCAAGTCGAATCACATAAACATCTTTTCATTGGCTCTAAATTATTTTTCATCTTCTTGCAAAACATTCATTCTTTAGGTTAGTTTCATCAGCAATTGACATTAGTCTCGGGCCATCCACCTTCGCTGAGTTCTAAGATCCATTGCCTAGACATTGGGCTAATTTAATCTAGTAACTAGGTTAATTAAAAATTTGGAGTCACTTAGGGTTTTCTAGTTTACCCTAAAACAATTAAACAAGGTGGCGACTCATACATCCACGTGCATTTCTTTCCTTTAGTCACATGCATCACTATGACCATGGACATTTGGGGAGGGGTTCAACAACAGCGATGCATTTTTCCTTAGTCACATGCATTCATACTGCCTATGGACATTTTGGGGGGGGTTTCACAGTTTGGCAACTCTTGCTGGGGAAGGAGTTTAATGCAATCATTTTTTGCATAAATGGACTACCATTGTTGTGTAACTAAAACCTGTCCCTTCTTTAGGGCATTATTTTACAATACTTTGTTTTGCAGGGTACTCTTAGCACAAAATCAAGTATTCTTTCTTTAAGAATTACGAGATGAGGAATTTAAAACTCAAGTGTACAAATTGATTAAGACTTTTAATTGTGATTTATGCAACCGAATTGAGCAATCCTTTTCTCCATTGCATTTAAAAAATGAATTTAAATGAATTTTCTTCTCTCTCTATTCAAACTTCTGAGTCTGTGGGATAGCAAGTAGACGGCTGATTCGGCAAGGTCTCCTTTGATTATGTCGACGGACAGGCACAAAGCGTCCCTCCCTGTCCGCAAAACCATTCCCTAAATCCTTTTGGGATGGCCTATGGGCGCATGCGTACCGTTGGACCCACGCCGAAACTCTTTTGTTTTCACAATGTGGTTAGGGTATATCCATGCTCAATGCTCAAGGCTCAAGGGTCCCTTTATAAGCCTATTCTCTATTTGTGTCATAGCCTATAGAACCTATCCTTTAGGACTGTATGCACCCAATGATAAAAATCATAAACAGATTATGGTGTGTTGTTGTGCGCATTCATGGCATATCATAAACATTTGGGTAAACACAAAGAGAGCAGAAAACACCTTTTATCTTCAATCACGCACAGTTGGACAAAGAGTCAATCTACCTCATATCACTCCCATGACACACCAAACACTATACCTAATCCAACTACCCTTGTACTTTCAGGTGCCCCCTGTTCAAGTGCTAGCCACACCTACAGTGCTATCACCAAGTTCACCAGCTTCACCAGCTACACCGGTTACACCTACGACTCCTGCAACTTTACCTTCACCAATGGCATCACTGTCTGACATCCAAAACCCAAAACCTCATTGAACAAACTGGAGGCTAGAATGGCAGGCCAGATATGAATGAAGGCATGGCCGCTCAAAAGGGCTGCCCCTGATAGCTGAATTGGGGGAATGGTAATGGTAACGGAAAATGGGGCTCGCCGGAGGAAGTGGGCCTGCCGCCTTTCCAATCAGGGCGTCTGCTGCTTGCTGAACCTACCCAAACCCTGCCTTGAACTTGGATTGCCGTAGCCCTCCAAAACTGCCTTCTAAGGCTGGGAAGCTCAGAGAATGAGACGAGGAAGCTAGAGCTTTAGAAAGGTCAGTCACTGCCCTTCAATTACCATAAGGAATGTCGTGGACATGGACTCCTTGTCTTTTGTTTCGCCTGAAGCCAGATTACCAAACTAAGTTCAAAAATGGCCCCAACATGGGACAAGTTTGATGGAACCACTTGTCCTAAAAAACTCACCTTGAAGATGTATTGTGGGTTGGCCCTTAACCATTTGGATGAGCAGTGACTCCTTGCTCAGTTGTTCCAACCAAATCTTCTCACCGGTGCTGCATTGAGATGTTTGTCAGCTTTAGATCGGTCTAAGATGAGACCTGGGAGGATATCTGTAATGCATTTAATTTCCCAGTTTATCACTACAACATGGAGGTGGATGTACCCGAAGGGAATTAGAGACTACTAAGCAGAAAAATAATGAACCTGTTTTTCCTCGTTCCTTACGAGGTGGAGGGCCAAGGGCGCCCAAATGATTTAACGGCTTCAGAACCAAGAATAGGTTAGGGACAATAATAATAAAGAATCTGCAAACCTGTCTACCGAAAACAACGGTTACAAACCCAGTACTGCCAACGTTTCAGTCGCTCATTGCTACTGCTACGAAGGTAGAAGACCTGATCCAAATGGGGCAACTGAAAAGGACGGACGCAGGATAACCTCTTAAGTACAAGAAAACCCCAGCCAAGCTGGACGCAAAGTCCCACGGCCAAGCTGGCAAAGTCCACGAAGTGGCAAGCATCACCCCCACCAACCCTTTACGTGTGGG